CATCACAGGTGAGGAGAGTGAAGCTCTGTCCCTTCACTGCCTGTGGCAGGCCAGCCTTGTGTCCCAAGCCCTCCCCCCAGGTGATCTGAGCCAGGGGCACAGGACACAAGGGCAGAAAACACAGGGACTGCCACATCCCAAAGCCCGGAATCTGACTGGTAGCAAGTAGGAGGGAAGCTGAGGGTCTCTCCACACCCCTCCCCCAGGTGGAATAACAGCACCCTCAGAAGCGGCTATGGGGTTGTCACAGGCCAGGAAGGGGGCACAGCAGTGGTCCCCTAAGTCTGGGGCTATGTATTCCCATAACAAGCAGCCCTCCAAAGCTCTGAAGAGAGCACCAGGCACTGCGTGCCCTTGGTGACATGAGGAGCCCTGTCCCCACCTGTGGGCCCGAAGCAGCAGCTCTAGACAAGCTTCTGGAAGTCCCTTCCCCATCCATGTCATCCCCACCTGGCTGCAACCTCGGCATGTTGAGCACCTGCCCTCAGAAAGCCCTCATTCGGTACTTATTTTCTAAAAACCCTGAATTTTCTGTGTACCTACTATGTGCCAGGTGCTGTGAGTGCCACACTCGCTGGGCCCCGTCCCTCACCCATCAGGTGGTCAGAGATGGAGCAAGGCCTTAGTTCATCTGCTCAAAGTGGCCCGCCTGTCACCCTGGCCCATCAGTTTGGCCCCTGTGCTTTCAGGAATCAAGGGCATGGGCTGCCCTTGGGAGGCAGGCACATCCTGAAAATGGTCAGTGCTGTCTCTTACTGCAAAGCTTGCCCCTGCTAAGCTGCTAAGTCTGCTTCATGTTTGAGTGTTAATGAGTGTGACCATGGTAACTCTCCCAAGTGGAGGCTTTGTGATAAGGATGAGTACTGATTGGCTGAAAACACGCAGTGCTTAGCCTGACAACCTCCCCCACTGGAGAGGAGGCAGGTGGCGATGCACCTTCTGGGCTGAGAAAAGCAACCCCCACCCATACTGGGAACTGAACCCAGGCAAGTGCTCTACTGAGCCACAACCCTGACCTGAGAAACACTGTTTTGTAAAACTACTTTCTCTCTCTTTTTTTTTTTTAAGTGAAACTTTAATGGTTTTTTGGTCCTTGTCAAGCTGTGCCTGGAGTGAGAGGGGACTCAAAGATGCCATCAAAATGTCAAGCCCCCTCCCGGGCCAGAGAGAAGCCTGTGGACTGAGTCCATGCCCTCTTTGTTCTAGCTGCTGGCTTCTAAAAGAAGACACTTCAAAAAGGCGTGCAGCCCACAGGGGCCGGGCATGAGGACACCTGGCCTACAGCAGTGGGTAGCAAAGGAAGCAACAGAGCAGGGGCGGGGTCCTGCCCTTCAGGCCTCCGAGTGCTCTGATCATCTTCGCAGGAAGCTGTGAGCTCAGGACTGTCCTAGGGAGAACAGAGGCCGCTCGGTGTGATTTAGAATGACCCTCACCAAGGACAATGAGGCATGGAACCCAGCCAAGGTTTGGGGGCAGTGGTGTGGACAGAGGCAAGGGATGTTTGAAATAGGCTTTAGCAGTGGATTATCTTTAGGGTTTTCTAGAGGGAACTTCTAGAAATGTAGCTGGGCATCAGATGTAGACAAAGGAGCTGGTAGAGGCAGGACCAGGAACCTGGCGAGTAGGTGGCCTGGGGAGGTGGGTTTCATCACGCCTTTCATCTCAGGGTGCAATTGGGTAAAATGAGGCAAGAGGCTGTGGGATGATTAACCACACTAGGTGAGGACACAGGGTCCAGGAGTTTTAGGAGAAGGTGGTTCCACAAAGTCTGCAGACAGTGGAATTGGATGGAATCTGCCTTGCCTCACAGCTTTAGAGACACGAGGTTAAGTGCAATGAGCACCCTTTTAAATACCTCGTTTTCTAAGACACTAAAAATAATCCCCAGGGACAAGAAATAAAAAGGCAAAAGTCAGAATGATAAGTAGGGTCCTTTGGGTTTCCTGCAATGTGGGGATGTGGGCGCCAGAGTTCAAGAAAGAGGTAGCCTTTTCTGGTCTTGGGGGCCAAGGATTTTACGCCTCTGTAGCAAGGGGAGATGAGTCAGCCTGGGGCCCTTGCCAGCAGAGATACCAATGAAAATGCCTGAATAAAACTGGACCACATCCTCCACGAAAATGCAAACCTAGGAGCGGAGGGAATCACTGTTTTGCAAAGGGTACTGTCAAAGACATTGTCTCATTTCTGGCTCTGTTGAAACATACAAAAAGAATTCTCTCTTGAGAAATGAGAAGTCCAGACTTTCCCTAACATAAATTTGAAGTGTGAATTTGTATTTCTCACATGGTCTCAGAACTCCTAAAACTTGAAATTAATATAAGAAAACAAGCCTGGGTGGTTCACACCACAGAGCATAAGGCAATAGCAAATATAAGCTCGCTGGAGGCCATCTACACTACCAAAGTCACAAAGGAGCCTCACAGATACAACCTTTGTGAACAGGAGCTCATAGCAAAATTATAAAACAGAGACGCATGCTATAAACAGTAGAAAAACAACGTACAGGGGCCGGGGATTTAGCTCAGCGGTTCGGTGGCCTGCCTTGCAAGCGCAAAGACCCGAGTTCAGTCCCCGGTACCCCCCCGCCAAAAAAAAACCAACAACATACATAGGACTCTGCACCCAACATAGTTTTCAATGTGCATTGAAGATGTCAAAAAATTATTATGCACGTCGTAGTGCAAACAAAGCAAATCTCAATCAATTTCAAGAAACTGACACCATGGTTCATATGTTGTTAGGTTAAAAACCAATAGCAAACAGTAATCAATGTTCTGACGTAAAGACAGACATGTAGACCAATGGAATAAAACAGACCCTCCTATATGCATGGTCAAGTGGCTTTTGTCAAGGGTTGCAAAATAACCAGTGGTGCCACTGAGACAGTCTTTTAACAAATGGTGCTAGGAAAACTAGATAGCCATGTGCAAAGAAATGAGTTGTATCCTGGCTTAGAACCATATGCAGTGGGTCACTCCTCAGTGTCAGTGGGGACTGATTCCAGTCCCACCCCCATGTTTACCAACATCCACGTGCAAGTCCCCTGTGTAAAATGGCATAGTGTTTGTGTGTAACCTGTATCTGTCCTCCTAAATACTTTAGATCACCTCTGGATTGCTTACAATGTCTAATACAATGTGACTGCTGTATAATACTATTACATACTGTGTTGTTTAGGAAATCATGACAGGGAAAGTTTGTACATGTTCACTACAAATGCACTCCCTTCCCTTCCTTCCTTTCTTCCTTCCTTCCTTCCTCCCTCCCTCCCATCCTTTCTTGTTTAGTTTTTTGTTTGTTTGGGTTTTTGGTACTGGGGATA